CTTATGGTGAGGGCGCGCCCCCCCCCCCCAGCTCACTCATGTTGGAGTCCCTCGTGGGGCCTCTATCCTGCTAAGGACCCTCCCCCTAACCCTGTTCTGCCACCCTTGCAGAAAAGTAGTCCTGAAGAACGAGAAAGGATGATTAAGCAACTGAAAGAAGAGTTACGGTTAGAAGAAGCAAAACTCGTTCTGTTGAAAAAGTTGCGGCAGAGTCAAATTCAGAAGGAAGCCACCGCCCAGAAGGTGTGTGCTTATCCCGACCCCCTTAGACCCTTGCACCTCCAGGTCAGTGGGAAGCCATTTAGAACAGGGGGTGATGAGCCACTATCCTTACCTGATCTCCCCCCTTTCTCCTTGCCAGTAGCGAGAAAGGCAAGTCAGGGAAGAAAGAGGGTTTCCTCAGGGGAGTGTGGGGCAAGTTTGAGTGCACGTTATGGACTCTGAGGTGCTCGTTTTGAGCTTAGTTAGAAGGAGCCCAGAGTACATGTCAGTCTAGAGTATTCTGGAGCTGGCTGTGTAAAGCTCCCTGCTGTTAGGCTGCAGGTATCGAGCAGACAGCACCAATTGTCTTTCATGCTGCTGGAAGCACATTTCTGGGTTAAAAGTCCATTTCCAGAAAGGCCTTCTGCCCCATTGGTGGCTATGAAGGCCATGTGGACAGATGTCGAAGTGCCCCAGGGGTGCACACCTGCCTTCCCCACCCCTCCAGTATACGTGTCTGTGTCTCAGTCTCATGCGGGGGGGTGGCGGCGGGGCTCTGCACACCTTTCAGAGGATACTGCTCTCCTTGACTCCTCCCTAGAGCCCAAGGCTTTGCATTCGGCTTCTGGATTTAGTTAAATATGGATGGCAAATTAAGTCGATTTTTCTTTTCCTTTTTTTTTTTTCCCAAGAGGTTTTTTTAATATTTATTTGTTCAAAGAACTGGTGAGATAGGGACCCCAAACATGGTCTTCATCCCATGATACATCCCCAGCCCTCCCCAGAGCATGGGCATGCCTGTGTCCTGCATTTTCTGGGAGGTCTGCAGATAGGAACCCAGAACCTGCCCATGTTGGTTAGCCTTGCAAAGCATTGTATTATCTGGACACAACTATCCAGTCCCAAATTAATTTTGCTGGACTTCTTTAGTGTCCCATCCTGGGAAGGTTCTTGGTTGGAGATAAAGTTAACTTCCATGTATTTCATCACTATCTCAGTAAACCTGAGAATAAGTGCATTGTGGAAAGTAAGAGCCAGCAGTGTGTACAACACGTTGGTCAGCTTGAGAAGGGGTGGGACGGTGGGACCAGCAGATGGCATAATGGTTATGTTGCTGGACACCCATAGTCAACTGCAATTTGAGTTCTGAACTTGATAGCTTAAAACTCACGCTGGGTGTGTGCGTGTGTGTGCATGCCCAAAATCCCAGTAGGAGAAGGGATTGCAGTATGACCATCCCCCCAGGGGATGATTTGCTTTCTGCCTGTCTCTCTCTGTCTCTCCAGCAAGAAAAAAAAAATCCAAAATCTCTCAAAAAAGGAAAGAAGGGAGGATAGGACAACACATTTTCCTGGTCCGACTTGGAAATTGTTTTCTTTTTTGAATTGCCACAGGATGCATGCACTCACCAGAAAGAGAAAGAGAAAGCGAAAGCACCCGCCCCTTTGGTGGGGCATGATGCTACAGTCCCTTCTCCTCCATTTCTCCATCCTGTCAGGAATTTGGACATGCAGGCATGCACGTACATGTACCTGGCACTTTTCTGAAGCCTCCGTGGCTGGGATTCAGAAATGTGGTCTGCCCACCACTAGGCTACAGGATCAGCCTGGAAAATTTAATTTGAATCCCTACCGTCCACCCCGTTAGCAGCTAGGTGGACAGAGCCTACCTGTTCATTTTTTCTGTTCTCTTGGTTTTTTTTTGTTTGTTTTGTTTTGTTTTCTAGGGGGGGGGGAGGGTTTTGCTATAGGGCGCGTGTGCTCGCCAGAAAGACAGACAGAGAGACAGAAAGTGAGAAATCACCCCCCAGGGGGGATGGCCACGCCGCAATCCCTTCTCCTCCATTCTCCTCTCGGGATCTTGGGCACGCATGCACACGCGCCCGGGGTGAGTTTAAGCCACCAGGTCTGGGACTCGAACCATGGTTGACTACATGGGAGTCCAGCGACATAGCCATTACACCAACTGCTGGTCCCAATTTTTTCTGTTCTCTCGTCAATGGCTAAAGACAGTGAAGTAAAACAAGTGGGCCGCTCTCCTTTCTCTAGTGGAATCTCTGGCTTTAGAAAGGGCCCAGTCCCAATGTTATGTCACCAGGATTGGGACTGACCCATCTAGGTCATGGTCCTTTGCCTCATTCCCTACTGCCACCAGCATTCCCACTCCCAGAGGGCAGAGCAGGTTCTGGGGCTCTGTGTGGGTGTTGGGGAACAACCAGAAAGTGATGCTGAGAATGAGAGACAGGAGGTTTCTAGAAAAATCTGTCCTGGGCCCACGGGGAACACCGACTCCCGTCAGCAAAGATATTTGCAGGCAGGAAACAGAAGCTTTGAGCCTGATACACTTGGAGTAGGAAGAAAACCAGTCTCCCTCCATCTGAGCTGCAGGCCAGTACCTACCAAGCCAGCACCCCCTCACCTTCCCTGTTCTGTCTTGCAGCCCGCAGGCTCCGCAGGGAGCACCGTGACCACCCCTCCCCCGCCAGTGCGATCCCTGCCGGCAAACCATCGCTTCAGGTCAGTGTCCCCTCTCCCAGTGACTGCTGCTGCTTAAGGTCGGGATGGGCCCGTCAGTCTTCTGATCAGCCCTGATCCAAGTCCTGTGAACAGACATTAATCCTTCCAGGTAGGCTGGAGCAGGCCTTCTGGCCACAGCCCAGGGGAAAAGGTGTGCGTGTGTTCCCCAAAGGGCATGGCCCAAATAGGCCGCTGATGTCTGTAAGTTTTGTTTATTGAATTCCTTCATGAGAGAGACAGGCAATCCCAACAGGACCTTTACACGTTGATCCATTTGTAGCCAAAGCCTACCCGATCTTGAGCACATGTGCCCACGTGCTCAGAGAGGTTCCTGGACTCAAACCCAGGAGCTTTCTCACATCTGTCCAATTGCATCACTGCCCTGCTACCTCCATGCCCTTTGGCCTCTGTTGGTGTCATGCACCGAAATCATGGCTGACGATGGGAGGCCCTTGTCCCCAACAGGATGGGCAAGAGATCTAAGGGCCTGGGCAGACCAGGCTGCTTCATACCAACTCTCCCAAGGGTGGTCCGGGCTTCCTGCAGCCTGGCTCGGCCGCACCTCCTCTCAGCTCAGCTCATGTTGTCTGACCATAGGGCACCCTCGAGGTGAGACAGGCGGAGGGCTCACTCCCAACCACACAGAGAAGGCCTGTCCCTCCACAGGCCTAAGCCCCTAGTTCACACCAGCAGGTGAGCGGCTCCTATCCCATCCTGGCACAGCTGCTCTTCTGCCTGAGCTAGGGCCGGCATCGTGCCTCAGTGTAGCCTCATTGGGACAGCTCAGTTCTGCCTGAGCCCAGGTTTGTTGAGCTCTTGTGGGAATCCTTTGTTCCTCCATATTCAGCATAGGCATTTTGAGACCAGCAGATGGCATAACAGTCACATCGCTGGACTCCCACATGGCCGGCTGCCATTCTCAGGTCCCCAGCCCTGTGGCTTGAAACTCATGCCAGGCACATGTGCATGTGTGTCCAAAATCCCAAGAGGCGAATGGAGGAGGAGGAATTGCAGCCTGGCCATCTTCTATTGGGGGTGATTTCTCACTTTCCCTCTTGCTGTCTCTGTCTCTCTGCCACCCAGAGAGCACATGTACCCTCAGGGAGGAACCTCTGTTTAAAAAAAAAGAAAAGAAATAGAAGAAGGAGGCATTTCAGCTCATTTTATTTTTTACTTCTCTGTTACTTTTATTTTTTTAAACAAGTATGTACTTTTATATAAAAAAAAAAAAAGTAAGTCACTCGTGAGGGTTTAAAAAAAAAAGCCCTCGTGAAGCCCGGTCTTCCTTGTTGACAGACCTCTTCAACCCGAATGCCTGGCAGCATCATCCCACCTCCCCTGGTCCGTGGCGGACAACAGGTGTCCTCAAAGCTGGGACCACAGGCGAACTCACAGGTCGTCATGCCACCGCTTGTCAGGGGGGCCCAGGTAAGCGGGGCGGGTGCATGTCCGGGTGGCCCTGGGAACTGCCCACCTTGGGGCTGAGGCATCCCTGCGCTTCTGTGGTTCGTCTCAGTCGGATTTATCACCCCTCATCCCACCCCACCCCACAGCAAATCCACAACATCAGACAACATTCCAGCACAGGGCCTCCGCCCCTCCTCCTGGCCCCCCGGGCTTCCGTGCCCAGTGTGCAAATTCAGGGACAGAGGATCATCCAGCAGGGACTCATCCGCGTCGCCAACGTCCCCAACGCCAGTCTGCTGGTCAACATCCCACAGGTGAGGGTCCTTGCCGTCCCAGGGAGTGCTGTATGTCCCCCCTCCACAACCTCTCCCCATAGGTCCCCTGTCCAAGGGACACAGTCCTGTCTCCCAGGGTGGATTAACCTGATCTTCCTGCTCTTTCAGAGCTGGGCAGGGTTGTAGGGATGTGACAGTCACGGGTAGATTTAGCCCTCTGATGAGAAGGTGGGCGTGCAGATCTGGGCTGGATGCAGGGCAGGCCAGGTGCTGAGGTCTTGTGGTGTGCTCAGTGTTCCTCATCACAGAGTTGCATTGGGCTGGCAAGGCTGGCATGTGGGAGGCAGCAGGTTTTGAGGGGTGAGGGTACCCAGGTGAGGCAGGCGATGGGTCTAGAGGCGGCTCAGGGATCAGAGCCCACATCACCCGTCCCCAGCCGGCTCCTGCTGACTCCAGTCACGCCTACAAATGTTCTCATGGCACCAGCGCGAGTCTATTCTTAGCTGCGTCCCTTCACCTCTGTACTGAGCTTCCTAGATGGGGAGGGTCAATCCCCACCCCCTGGAAAGCAGGGCGGGCAGGCTGGAAACTAGAGCCTCCTCTGACAGGAAATTGCTGGGTCTGCCTGCAGGGGCCGTGGCTGAGGGGTGTGTTCGCTCCTCGTTCCTGCCCGCCTTCCTTAGGCAACAGCTAGGCCAGCAGGGCTCTGGGCCGTGTCCCTGTCCCCTGTAAGGTTAGGTTCCAGTGCAGAGACAGCCAGTTCTGACCCCACACGAGTGTCCTGAGCTGCCCAAGTAGGCAGCTTTGCTCATCCGTACACAAACCTCTGTCCAGTCCCTACTTAATTTCCTCATGTGCCTCGAGGGAAGATCCGAGGCGGGCTGTGGTTGGGGCCTGCAAGGAGGAAGAACTGGCTGGTCGCAGGCAGAGAGACCTGAGTCAGATCTCAGTCGCTGATTGGAGGTGGCCCAGCTGTGTGTGAAGGTCCTAGGAACTATCCTGGGCTCGCCTGGAGGTGATATGTGCAGCTTTTCTCAGATTTCCAAAGGCATCCGCACCCCACAAAGCTAGGGCACTGGCGTGGGCAGCTCCAGATTTGTGTGGCAGATAGAGGCCAGCCCCAGGGGTGCCAACAAGAAAGACAGCAGAGCAGGAGCAGTGAGGCCTGGAGCAGGGCAGGGTCGGTCCAGGCTGCTTTGTCCTGTGACCTCCTAGGACTCTGCACTTCCCAAACATCACAGTACAGGCAGACACCCACGGGAGTAAGCATGGATGCTGTAATGACAACCCAGTGTCGTCACCTCTGGAGGGAGGGGGAGCAGGGGCCCTGGGGGGGTGCTCACCTGGTCGTGGTGGTGGTTTTGTGGGTGTCCTCATATCATGAAATGCATCATGTTGGGGTTTTCAGATGTGTGCCGCATGTTGGTGCCCACTGGCCACAGTGAGTGCAGATGACAGCCGGCTCCCAGGGTGATGTGTTTAGTGCTGCTGTCACAGCTGCTTGCTGGCGTCCATGAACCTGTTGACTGTCAAGCAACTCATTACTTTTTATTTTATTTTTTTAAATTTTTAAAGATTTTTGCCACAGAGGGGCCAGCAGATGGCATAGCAGTTACATCTTTAGACTCACACGTGGCTGACATGGTTCAATTCTAGGACCCGGTGGCTTGAACATCACGCTGGGCATGTGTGCGTGCATACCCAAGATCCCAGGAGGAGAATGGAGAAGGGATTGTGGCGTGGCCATTTCCTTTGGGGGATGATTTCTCACTTTCTCTGTCTCTGTCTCTGGCAAGCTCACGAGAATAATAAAGACAGTAAAGTAAGAAATCATCCCTCCCTGGGACTGGCAAGTAGTGTGGTGTTTAAGGGTGCTGGACTCCTACATGGCTGACCGCAGTTCGAGTCCTAAAGCTGGCAATTTACTTTCTTTTTCTCTCTCTCTGTCCCTCTCTGGTCAAATTTAAATAAATAAATAAAGTTAAATAAAATCTTTAAAAAAAAAAAATGAAATCACCCTTTCCCCCTCAATTTTCCTCTCAGGATTCTGGATACATGTGAACACACACCTGGTATATTTTTCAAGCTGCTGGATCTGTGACTTGAACTGCTGAATCAGCCATGTAGGGATCTATCACTTTAATCACCATATCACCTACTGGCCCCTTGGATATACTTTTTTGTAAATTGTTTTTTATTTTTTATTATTATTTATTATTTTTAATTTGCTATAGTGCATGTTGGCTCACCAGAAACTGAGAGAACAGGAAGAAAGCAAGCTGTGAGGTTTGGGACTCAGACCGCATCAGCCATGTGGGAGCTCAGTGCCCTAACCACCGTGAGACCTGCTGGTCCTCAGATTTACTTTTTAGGGACTCAGTCAAGTGCAATATACTGGCAGGACCTGCTTCCAGGCAGGTGCACCTCACAAGCCTGCTGACCAGATTGTTGTCTCCCCACAGCCCACCCCGGCATCGCTGAAGGGGACTACGGCTGCCTCTGCTCAGGCCAACTCCCCCCCCACCAGCGTGGCCTCTGTGGTGTCCTCTGCTGAGTCCCCAGCCAGCCGTCAGGCAGCCGCCAAGCTCGCGCTACGCAAACAGCTGGAGAAGACGCTGCTTGAGATCCCCCCACCCAAGCCCCCCGCCCCAGAGATGAACTTCCTGCCCAGTGCTGCCAACAACGAGTTCATCTACCTGGTCGGCCTAGAGGAGGTGGTGCAGAACCTCCTGGAGACGCAAGGTGAGCAGGAACTCAGCCCTGAAGGCTGGTGGTCCAGGTGCACATTCCATGGTGGCCCGTGACAAGGTGTGTAGTGGGGACACCTGGGGCGAAGTGACCGCCTTGGCTCTTCGGAA